AATTGACATTCCTATTTTGTCTACCATCAGACCTTAAAGGTCAACCTCAGAAGGTCTGAGCCAAAATACACTGCCACTAAAAAATAATAGTCTGAAAATATTATTTAACAATAAGAATCCATTTCAGTTTTGTATTTGGCATCTATATTGTCAGGTGTTATTATTATTCATACAAACTGATCAGAGCAGAACCTATGATTTGGTAAGTGCAAATCTTGGTCGAAGCAAACTTTGATCATAAAGTTTTTTGGGGTTTTTTTTTGTTCTCTTTTTAATGCTATATTCCACTAGAATGTAGGTCACTATGACTCCCATTGTGCTTTTCTGTTTCCTTTTCTATAGTTTTAAATTCAGAGTTGATTTTCTATTAGACTGGCTGCTAAACAAGGCTAAAGAGCCTATTTAACTTATAGCTGGAAGATGAGTCCATGCCTTCCTAAAGGGTATTAGTATAAAAGTGAAATGCAACAGGCTGGAATTTGAATTTGCCTCCCCATTTCCATTATTTTTGTTCCAATAAACATTTGAATCCTATCCTATCCTATTCAATCTAAAACCACTGTCTCACCTTTAGGCCCAAGTGTAAAACCAGACCTCTGCCTCAGTTTTTACTCTGTCCATAACAAACCAGGTATAAACTGAGAACTGTTTTGCCTTTTAAAACCAGAGCTTTGAATCACCTTTTGCCCCATGTGTAAAACTGGAGCTCTTTCCTCATCTTTTACCCCATGTATAAAACCAGAACTCTGCATACCCTTTTACCTAGTGTAAAAAACTGGAGCTCTTTCCTCATCTTTTGCCTTTTGCATAAAACTGGAACCCTGTTTCACTGTTTATTAATTCATTACAATTTCCATTCTGTAAGTTTCATATATTTGACCATATAAATGTTGTTAACCTTAACATTTAGCACTCTCCATAATTTATAAATATTACTTCTCCTTTTACTGTATATAAAATCCCCTAAAAATATAGGTTTTTTTTTTTACATTAGTTTTATATATTTGAAATTACAGTAGCCTGGCTCTCAATTTCAGGCAAGATTCTTTTAGGTGTTGCCACGCAACCAAGAAATTCAAATTCAACTTGCTTTGGCAGGACTAACATTTTGCTTATGCCTTTTCTATAGGGAATTCCACTAATTCATGTTACCTAAGGGTTAAAATGAATTTTTAAAAATGAAAAGCTTTAATTGAAAGCTAAAGGATTAAATTTACTATTTCCAGTAAGAAAAATACTCTGGTGTATTTTAAACAAATATTAATTGGAATCAATTGTTTTTATTTATTATTTTGCTAAAATAGTCGATTAGTGCCCCCCTTTTTTCTTTTTTTTTTTTTTTTAGTTCTCTTTCATCACAATGTAAATGTCTTTATTAAAAAAAATCTTCCAAAAATAAAATATACTTTTCTGAAACTTTATTTGCAGAATATTAGCTGATTTCAAGTATAATTAATATGATTTGAAAAAAAAAATTATTTACTTTAACTTTAAAATAACACAAAATGCATTTTTAAAACAAACAGTAGCTGTGTTTTTAACTGACTGTAGCCATGTTTATGTGATTGACGAGTGTTGACAAGTGAGGAAAAGGTGACAGCTTTATTATTGTTCTATGGAGATTTTATGCATAAAACATAATTTAAGAAAATGACATGAGCCCCTTTTTTTATATAATTTTTAAATACTCACTGATTTTAAAAATGTTGGAAAATATTCTCTGTAATCTAATTTTAGGAATGTTGACTTTAAATTTACTATAGTCATCGATCTTATTTTCTGATAATGTCTTGTATGGTCACCCATAATTTCAAAATGGGCACATTTATACACATAAAAAAATTATTTTAAAAATCTTGTTGCATGAGGATTTGTAGTAAGCTTTTCAACTTTCGATTAGTAAATATAGTTTTCGCTTAATAACAATATCACCTAATGCAATTAAAGTAATGCAGAGTTTTAAATATATATGTAAATTAGTTTAATAAATTATAATTAAAAATTAAAAAAAATAAAAACAATTCTTGTAAAAATTCATTATTCATTGAAAAAAATTTTTAAGACAGTTGTCTTATTTATAAAAGTAAATAAAAGCCTTTCTAATTAATTAATGTCATAGCTTTGCTGCATTTTTTGTTTTACAATTCAGAGCAAATTTTCTGTAAATGTGTACCTAGTTTGTAAAAAAAAAAAAAAAAAAAACATTCTCCAAGGATTCCTGCTTTTAACTAATAAAACAAATTTTGCAATTAAAATTTAATTTTTCAAAATTTCATGAAATTAAATAAGTGGGGAGGTAACATGTGAAAAAAAAAATTATTGCTAGATTGGCAATTAGGTCTCATCATTTTACTGATGAAATAATGAGATCTAACCTTATGTTCTATTCTAATAGTTTTTGCTCTCACTCTCTTCCAATTTCTTGCTTTTCTACCACCTGTGATCTTCAAATAAATACAACATCAATTTATATCATCTGCTCTCCTGAATTATGTTCTCTTATTGCCCTTTCTTCTCACTAATATCTTCTTCTTTTCTTTCACTCTCAGTAACCAACTTGTGTCTTAGTGGCATTATGACCTTGCTTGGGGTGAAATGATTAATAAAAAAAAACTCTGGCCATTTTCTGACAAAATAAAATTTCTATTTTAAGTCAAATTCCTGATGAAGGCAAAAACTATGAAAAAAAAAAAAAAAAAAAGTTCAGTCATTTGAATAAAATTTTAAATATTCAGAGGCTATACTTTGTCTTGTTTGTTTGCTTTTTTAAAGATAACATTTTTATGATACATTATCTTGCTATGATGCTCAGACTTTTCCAATTTTTGCAAATAACTTGCATATTTCAGGCTTGAGTCCCTTTAAAATTGAATGCTCCAAAGCATTCCATCTTTCCAAGATGCCCAGAGCATTCCAGCTATAAAAATATATTATTCTAAAACAAAGTATTAATTAACAAAAACAATTTTGAAGTAATTTAAGATTTTATTGCAGTACTTTTTTACCTTTACTATTTCTTTCATTCATTGTGGGGAACATGCATCAGTACAGATGCAAAAGAAACCCTGGATTATATGTGGACATGTCTGTCAAAACCAGGTACACCTAGGTTTTCCTGTTAGCAGTGGGACAGCTTGGCATTTTCAGATACAGGCCTCTCTCTAACTTTTCTAGATCCAAATTTCTGTTAGCTATCTCCTGTCAATAAAATTGATGGGAAAACCAGCAGTGGGCAATTGGTAAGACTCAGTGTCTTATGAAGTCGGTACCATGGGCATTTTGTTTCTAAAGTTGCTGTGCCTTCTGAGACAGTATTATTTTGTTACCTCCTGTCTTTTTTCCTTTCTCTGTCTATAACCCCCATAGTGGTTAGGAGAGCTATCAGGTGTTTCATCCAACCTCAATACACAACAGGTAATGAACCAATTAACCTACAACAATTCTCTGGCATCATTGATACCCACAATTCAGTAAGATTTGATAGGCAGTCATGTACCCACCCTGAGTGCTTAAAGGACCCAGTTCAGTTACCTTCAAGGCAGTTCACAGCGGACTATGCAACCAATACTTCTATCTTTCTACAAGATACATTCTACTTTGATCAATGCATACATTTATAATACAGATGATTTTATTTTGACATATTTTCTCTCCTTGTCTTTCTACCTCACCAGCAATACATTATTGTTACTCTTGCAACTATACCTTCTATATATAACACATTTCTACTTAAAAGTTAGTAGTGGCTTTTAGTGACAGTGGCGGAACGGTGGAGTGATGAGTAGCAGCTTGGATTGAGGAATCGGATAGCCAAGTTCAAATTCCAATCGAATCCATTCACTTATATGCTAATACCCTTGGGAAGGGTATGAATCCTCTTCTTCTCTCCCCATCTCCCCAGCTATGGGTAAATAGAAGGACAGACCAGGTTCTATAGCCTTGGATTTTACCGCAGAAAGAAATGGTAAGCTGCTGCGGGAAAAATCTGCCTCATCAATTATGTATCGAAAGATACATGATCACCTAAGTGTGTATTATGCATGGCACATAGTTGACCGAGTGGATTTAAAATTGGTATTCTGCTGTCATATCTAAGCTGGTGAATTGAGAAACACCTACACCTGCGTCATTTTAGTTTTTGGAAATCAATTGGAAATATGGAACATATCAAGAATCACGCAAAATCAAAGTTGACATTTAGTTTATTCCAATCAGTTTTGCAGGATTCTATTTTTGATGTTTCTAAAATACTATTAAATTGAAAAATTCTAATCAACTTTTGATTACCTTGTTGTTTTTACTTCATTATCCATACCTGTACATTTTTAACTGGAATATTTTGTCAATTTTCAGATGTAGCCCAAACTTTCTACACCTGCATAAACTATTATTAAATCAAACACTTAATTGAGAATAGATGTTGCTGAAACATTTTCTTTGACACCTGGAAATTATACATTGTTTTATTGCAGCTAAAATATATGAATATATAATAATTTTGTCAACATTTCTTACCAGCTGGATGAGAAGCACTGAAATGTTTATTTTTAATTTTTCAGTCAAAAGACTTCCTTATTCAAGTGGAAACCCGACTTAGAAGGAGCTATTGAAGAGTATTCTAAGGCTGGTGAGTAAATATTCTTTATTGATGTCATATATTTATATCTTTAATTTCCTTGGGGACACATTGATAAGAATAACAGAAGGCTGCACATTCAAAGTTTGAATGATTGACTTGTTTTTTTTTTTTATAGATTATCAATCTTCTGTAGAATATTTCAATGCAGAAAATATTTTTAGATTGTAATAATTTTTTGGAGATAATTATCATTAACTCATACAAGTTCTTCTAATTAACCCATAGCTGGGGGAGAAGAGGTGGATTCATAACTTTCCCAAGGGTATTTGCATATAAGTGAATATAACAAACATAGAATTGAAACTGTACTTTGATTTTCAATTCTGAATTGTTATCTATTACACTACCTGCACATCCAAGCTTCCAGCACCTGGTATTCCCAAGTGGTCACCCACTTAGGTACTGACCAGGTTTGATGTGGCTTAACTTTGGTGGTTGTAGGAGAACCGGTATTTCCTCAACACATCATAGTACAAAAGGCAGTATAAACACCTTATGTAATGGTTAGCAATATTTTCTTTCTATTTTTTGTTGTGCTTAGAAGCAGGAAAATACAAGATATAGATGAGAACTTTTGCTTTTTTTTAAAACTAGCTTAAAAGCTTCACTCCATGCAGACTTTCTCCGCAAATGTCTAATTGGGCCTCGAGCCTAAAACTAAAAGGACTTCTGGTCCAGCTTAGAAAGCAGCAATGGTAATTTTGAAGAAATAACTTTGAATTTATTCCATGGAACTTCAAAAGCTCTCTTTAACTCTGATTCAGGCTATGTCCAATTCCGGCCAAAAGACCGATTTGGTCCGAAATTCCAATTCGGCCAAAGACCGATTTGGTCCGAAATTCCAATTCGACCAAAGACCGATTTGGTCCGAAATTCAATTCGGCCAAAAGACCGATTTGGTCGAAATTCAATTCGGCCAAAAGACCGATTTGGTCCGAAATTCAATTCGCCAAAAAAGACCGATTTGGTCGAAATTCCAATTCCGCCAAAAGACCGATTTGGTCCGAAATTCCAATTCGCCAAAGACCGATTTGGTCCGAAATTCCAAAAAAGACGATTCGAAATTCCAATTCCCAAAAGACCGATTTGGTCCGAAATTCAATTCGGCCAAAGACCGATTTGGTCGAAATTCAATTCCGGCCAAAAGACCGATTTGGTCCGAAATTCCAATTCGACCAAAGACCCGATTTGGTCCAAATTCAATTCCCAAAAGACCGATTTGGTCCGAAATTCCAATTCCGGCCAAAAGACCGATTTGGTCCGAAATTCCAATTCCGGCCAAAAGACCGATTTGGTCCGAAATTCCAATTCCGGCCAAAAGACCGATTTGGTCCGAAATTCCCAAAAATGAGTTCTTCATATCACAAACTTGATGGAACTTCAATTAAGTTGAATTATTCAAATCACAATTTCTGCAGAACTTCAAAACTTCATGCTTTAACTCTGATTTTTTGGAATTTTAGAGAGATACAATTGATTGGTCAATCAGAAAAATTGCTCTGAATAAAAGTCGCTGTTTTGATTAATGGGGTGGGGGGAACGATTTTTGAGTTTGGTAAGCAAAAGTGTGTTTCCTCTGTTGGGAATGGAAGGTTGGATTTTTTACCGTTTTTCGTATCTGCTGGACGATTTACAACCACTTTGCCTTTTGGACTTTTTGAACACGAATATGTGATTGAACTTATTGTTGGTACACAAAATCTTTTTTCTACTAACACAATTGGTTAATATGCTAACAAAGGGATTACTAAGAGTAAAAGAAACTGAGGACAATAAAAGAACAGTATTCAAGGAGACAGAAGACAACATTTGACACTGCATTTAATTTTTTAAAGATTGTAGTTGGAAAATACATGCCAAATATATTTTTTTTCTTGAAAAATTAAAATAATCTTCTTGTGATAGTTACAATTAAAAAAAAAAAAAAAAAAAAACATTGACCCCCCCCCTCTCCACTCAAACTTTCTTTCTCCAATATTTGTAGGATTATTTCTGTAGTGTAGAATCTTTTCTCTTGAAACATTCTCCAGGTATCTTAGCCTCAAAAAGAGAATTTATTGGTAGCAATAAAAGAAGATAGAAGAGTTTAAATTAGTTTCACAAAGTGCTATCTTCCTGATCGTCAAAAAGATTCTAAGGTACATATACATGGCTTTCGTGTTTACATGCAGGAAAATTTTCTAATAGCAAGGGAATATAATTTTGAATCTGGATGTTTCTTTCATGTGTTTTTGGCTTTCTTTATTGCACTCTGTTAGCTTTTCTGATATCTCTCTCCTCCTTCTCAGAACTTTAAAATATTAAACAAAATATCTAACGGGATAGAAATGGCTCTCTTTTTATCTCTATATTTGCGAATATTTTTGTGTTTGCTAATGTCAATGCTCATCATGTCAAGTGGCTTAAGCATTCTAATGTTACTGATATTGCCAATATTCAAACTTGTAATTTTTCCATTGTTTAGACCTTAAGTTGAATAGTGGATTTCCCTCCTCATTTTCCTAATAAATTTAACCAACATTCTTCATTTGATTTGTTCCTTACCTCCTCACTTGACTCTTGTCAAGCATCGCAACTCTGTCCTCTTGGCAATTTGGATTATGCTGTAGTATCTGTTGTTATTTTTTTTTTTTTTTGACTTAACTTTTAGACATGAACCCATTATTGGCAAGATTTCTTTCTGTTACCAGCGTACTGATTGTGATTCATTTTGTGATTTTTTTCATGCTGCTTTTTGGAGGGAAATTTATATCCTCGTATTAAGAATTGTGCCACTGAGGTTTCTTCTTGGGTAAAAGCTGACATTGATGCTTTTGTGCCATCTCAGAAATATCAGGTTAAACCACAATCTTCCTCTTAATTCACACCTGTCTTTCCTACATCTGACAGGAAGCACTATTTACAGCAGTACCAACCTGATCACAAAAGATGCCTCTTTGTGTCCACTCATAATAATTATTGTAAACATGTCCTCAAAGACGCTAAGTCTTTGTTCACTAGCAGAATGAGATGCCAAGAAATTTGGTTCTTGTCAGTACTGGCAGTTCTGTAATAATCTGTTAAATAAGGGTAAGTCCTCTATCCCTTCACTCAATTTGAGGTGTTATCTTCATCTGCTAATTAAATAGAATGTTTTGCTTGTAAATTCTCTTCCAATTCTATTCTTGATGCCTTTGGAGACTCATTGTCTGACTTTCAATTAGAATTGAGTCTGTACTAAGCAATATGTAAATAACTCCATCAATGGTTTCTGCTATCATCTCTAAACTGGATCTCCACAAAGCATGCAAACCATCTTAGCAATAGTTCTAAAGAAATGAGCTTCTGTTCTCTCTAAATTCAGCATACCTTGCTGCTTCTTGCTTTTCTGCTTGTGAGAAAACCTTTTCTATAGTTCCTATTTTTCGGTACACTGGTGAACCATATGATCCTTCTATTCACCTATTAGTCTTCTATCTCTTTTTGACAAAGTTCTAGATGCTTTAATCAACTCTGAATTTGTCAGACATCTCACCTCACAGGGTCTTCTTTTCAGACAAGAAATATGGCTTTCGCTTCTCTAGGTCAACTGCTGATGTATTAACGGTTATTGCTGAAAGAGTCTCTTAAGCTTTAGATAAGAAGGGTGAAGCTTGGGATGTTGCTTTGAATATCTCAAAGGCATTTGACAAGCTTTGGTATGCTGGTCTTCTTCACTAGTTGAAAGGTTATGCTATTTCCAGTGGCAGCTTGTGTATAGGCACTACAGTACTATAGCACCTCCTATTCTTACTCAGTATTATTGATAAGTACTGCAGATAACATTCAATATAAGTCTTTTTTTTTTTTTTTTTCTTTAATTCTTTCTTTATACTTGTAAATTATATAATCCTTAAGCTTAATATCTGTAGTCATCCCCTCATTAATGAAAATTACAAAAATCCTTGTCTGGAACTATGTACTTGTAAGCGTTCTGAAAGCAAAGGAAGTATTTGTCGCAGATTACTTCCACAACACAAAGAAAAATCACCGTAAGTACAGACTCGAATATCAGGGACAGAAAGAAATGCTGAAAACTCGATTCGCCGGTACTATCTCAAATCACAATGCGTGTAACCAGTCAGGAAAATAACTCACTCTCTAACAAACGCCGAAGCCAAAAATGCCCGAATTTCCCTTCTCCGAATCGAGAACACCAACTGCTTTTATCGGCAGAACCTATTTTTTTCATTCGTCGACAGCTGGGATAGGATGCTCCGTAATTTGCATATCAAAATACTCTTATAGCGACTCCTGCGATGGACTTGTTTCTTTTTCCGTCACAGAATACACGCGACGCACTGTCACTTGGTTTGACGAGGTAAGTCACCGTTTTCTTCGCTATAAGATTTTTGCTGACTACTTTTTGGTAATCCTTCTTCGGCAGATCGCACACAAAACACAAACTTTTTTCCAGGGTACCTGATTATTTCTTTCACTACACTCCCCCCTGTCACATAAGGGACACTCACGGGCGGGTCTCTTTATTCTTAAGCTTCTCCGGAGCGGGGCGACTGTTGGAGGAGATTGTGTGTTATGTTTTGAGGTTTCTTCTGATCTGACAACCTCATGCGCAGAGTCTTCGCCATCTGAAGAGGTGCTAGCCCTACCTCTGATGGTAATTATTTGTTCACTTTCTGAGCACTCACTGCTAGTGTCACTTGTTGATGTATCTGTACCTACATAGCGACGCAAGTCCTTTATGTGTCTTGGTATGCCATCAACCAGCACAGAGCGCGAGTTACTTAGTCCAGTGACATGCCCCACCCGGTACCGAGTTGTACACCGGCTATGTGGAGCTTTTACCCACACGCAATCGCCCAAGTCATACGGTGCATGTTCTTTTATCCGTTCAGTTGAACACGTTGCATCAATGCCTTGTAGCCGGACTTTGTACTGATAAATCATGTTGGCTGGCGCAGTTGAGGGCGATACATTATTGTCTCTCGGAGTAACATTGTACCAATACATCGCCTCCATTATGGAACGCTGCTTCCTATCAGCGATTCTTTTGATGCTCCGATGACATCGCTTGATTATGCCATTTCCTGATGGGACATACGCCATTAGCGAAAATCTGAGGCGTACTCCCCATGAATCCACAAAATCTTTTGAATAGTCCACTGCGGAATGCAGTGTCGTTGTCAGTGAGGAGTTCCGTTGGAGGTCCACGTTCAAAAAGAACAATGACCCCCAAGTGGTCAATGACGCTTGGAATCCTGTCGTCGAGATGCCGCCAAATAGTGAACTGGGTTGGGCCACAGTCAATTAGGGTTAAATAGTGATGTCCGTTATAATGGGTGATGTCCATTCCAACACGGTGCCACACCTTGCTTACACTCACTTGTCCTTTTTGCCATTGCACAGGTGCTGGGTCGATGGACTGACACTCCTTGCATCCTCTGACCACAGCCCTGACAGCAGCTTTGGATACGGAGGGAT